ACCACAATTTTTGGATCCATTCATCTGTGGTGGGACATCTGGGTTGTTTCCATATCCTAGCTATTGTGAACAGTGCTACAATAAACATGGAGGTGCACGTGTCCTTGTATAATTGGTTCCTGTTGTTCAGGGTAGATGCCTAGAAGTAGTATGACTGGGTCCTAAGGGAGGTCAGTCTTTAGCTTTCTAAGGACCCTCCAGACTGCTTTGTCCCCAAGCTTTTTAGCTCAAGGCTAGCTCTACCACTTGAGCCATACCTCCACTTCTGGCTTTTTAGTGGTTAATGAGAGGTACGAGTCTCATAGATTTCCTTTCCTGCCTGGGCAGGCTTTGAATCATCATCTTTAGATCTCAGCCTTCTGAGAAGCTAGGATGATAGGCGTGAGCCACAGGCACCCAACATGGTAAAGTCTTTTTTAAATCTTTTAATCTGCTCTAAAAGTTCCCAAGCTGTTGCTGTTATTCCACAGGCTCAAAGATCAAGGAAAATGGAGCATGAACTCAGAGCTCTATGCAGGTGAGACTTAGGTGATGTTTACGCTGCACAGTTTCTAAGCAGTTTTAGAGTCACCTGAAGCAAAAGAACATCAGCGTAAGGGTACCTCTTACCACTTTTATAATGCATGAGCACACCCGGGACGCGTGATGCAAGAGCAGGCAACACTGCGCACTCACACAACCCCCGAGGCCACAAACAAGCCACTTCAAATCGCTCTGAGAACAGGAGTCAAAGTGCATCCCTTTCCCTTTCCAAGACAAATCTAGCCACGCCCAAAGGAGACTGGAAGCTCCCTTGCACAGAAAAGTCTCAATGCATCAAAAGCTGGACTAAAAGCTGGTGGCCAGCTGCCAATCCCTAAGCTGATTCAGGTAACAAATGTCACAGTAAGACTTTCTCACTTGAGGCCTGGGTTTGATTTCATGAAAAACACAAAAAACTGCCTTAGAGCTGCACCCCCTCCCCCTTCGGGGGGGGCGGGGCAGGAAAGTTCTTATCTCCAATGAACCACCAGAAAACCAGAAGTGGAGCTAAGGCTCAAACGCACTAGCTTTGAGCACAAAAGCTCAAGCCCCGAGATCAAGTCCCAGGACTGGCACAAAAACAAAATATACAAAAACAAAACTAAACCTTGCCCTAAGTTGTAGGTCTTTAACTCGATTCTCGCTCCACGGGCGGCTGGCAGCAGTGCGTGTTAGACTAGCGCAACGGTCCAGTGCTCAGTGCCTCCTCTCAGCCCTCTGCCCGTCAGGAGTTTGTTTACAGCAGGGCAGTTACAGAACACCCAAGGATGGCCCTACCACCGAGTCCTCAATGCTGCTGGAGGGATGTGGCTCCTTAAGAAGAAGCGCAGCTCTGAAGGAGTTGGCCAAGGGCTGGCAGGCCTAGAACTGAAGGGTAAGAGCAGAACTCAGACCCTACAGAGAGCACGTCACGTGAGAAAGCTCACACCTGTCATCCCAGCTACTCAGGGGGCTGAGATCTGAGGACTGCGGTTCCAAGCCAGCCCAGGCAGCTGAAGCTCAAGGGCAGACACTGGACCCTGAGTTCAAGCCCCAGAATAGGGGCTGGAGAAGGCTTGGAGAAATAAAATTGGATCCAAAGTGGTAAATAATTTGGGAAAAAGTGGCTTTAATTAAAAGAGATGGAGATAAGAATCTGGAGAGAGCAGACACACGGCAGACCATGGAGGAGAGAAAAGGCCCAGGAGGCCCAACTCTGCCCAGCCATTTGCCACATGGAGCCCCATTTTGTAACATGTGAACGAAGCATTAACAGCCTAAAAGGCTTATACTAACCCATCCTGCTGCCTGGGAGACACTCTACATAGTCAAAATCAGGCAAATACTTTTGTGCCAGTCCCCCAAATAAAAAGGGCTAATGAATGTATTAACCATCACCAGAGACAGGCAGTGGTGTAAGCTGAAATCATGCAGCTTTACAGGCACGCCAGCAACACGTCCCAGAGCCCGACCGACCGACCCCGCCCGGGGCACTGGCCCCGACACCTGCCGTCACCAGAGCTGTGGGCGCGCGCGCACCTTGTTGTCTTGGCCCCACTGCCAGATGGTGGGAGCCTGCATGCCGAAGAAAGCAAAGGGATCCTTTCCAACGATGATTAACCCTATTAACACGAGCTTGAAGACTGACAGGAAAGATGCTATGTGTCTGTGAAAAGAAAATAAAGAATCTCATTAGAAACCACAGTTCCTCATATACTGTAAACGTTAATAATTCAAGTACACTTTCTAGATACCCAATCCAAAAGTTCTAGAGAACCAAGTATGGTAGATTCTGTATGGAGTTTTAGGGACTGGGGAACATAGCTCAATGGCAGAATACACACTCAGCACGTGCAGGGCACTGGAAAGATGAGGAGGGAGTGAATTTACTCCTATTTCCACAGTACAACTGCCCAAGAAAACACCCTTCACAAGGCTGCATCCTTCAGCCCCCTCTCCCCCTTCCTTACACAAAAAGCCTTCATATTTAGGTCAAAGAAACCCACTATTACTAACCGATTGGTTGGTTTGACAGTCTTGCTACATAGAGCACAGGCTGGCCTGAAACTCCTGACTCTCCGGCCTCAGCCAATCCCGAGTGCTGCGATTACAGGGGAGTACCCGCACCAGGCGCAGCGTGCTATTTATGAAGTTCTACTTTTTGCACATTATCATAACCAACCAAGAAGTTAGGATCATCATAGAAATCTGATTAAGTGCATAAAGTCAAACACCTTGCTTGCTTTTCAGTTAGGAAGGGACTGACGGACTTACCTGTAGATGGGCTGAGGGAGGTAATTCTCCCCTTCGATGCGGATGTCCGGATACCGCTGGCTGATAACCCGCATGTATTCCTCAAACACCCGCCGGTACCCTCAGGAAACACTGCAGGAAAAAAGCATTTCCACTAAGTGCTGTAGCACACACAGACCTTCACTGCCAGAGAAAGCCTCCCAAATACCAAGAGGAAAACTCTCCTATGCCAGCTGTGTCACAGAGAAATGGCATCCATCAAAAAACACAACCAGCTAAGCACCAGAGGCTCACGCTTATAATCCTGTCTATGAGGATACTGAGATCTGGAACTGTGGCTAAAGCCAGCCCAGGCAGAAAAAGTCCTACCGACTCTTTATCTCCAATTGGCCAGCAAAAACCCAGGACCAGAAGTGTGGCTCAGCGTCAGCTCTGGCTAAGTGTTAGAGGCAGAGAGACCACACAATAACAAGCGATGGCAAGGATTCAGAAAAAGAAAAACCCAACAACCTCAAACCCACATCCTGTGGGGGACGTAGAGCAAACACGGCCATCAGTAAGCAGGTTCCTCAAAAATCTCCCAGCAGCCTTTCCTTGACCCTACCCTACCACTACTGGACTTTTATCAGGAGAGCAAATACACACACGAGAAAGACACTTGTACACCAACGTTTCCTGAGCCCTGTTCACAACAGCCAAGCATGGAGTCAGCTGGGGTGCCCAACAATAGCTACACACAGCAATCCACACTATCTATTGTAGTCCTAAATTATGGCGTATTAGGCAGCCACAAAAAAAAAAAGAAAATCATGTCATTTACAGGAAAATGGGTAGAAATGGGAGACTCAGATTGAGACCAGACAAGCTAAAGAAAAAAAAAAGATTATCTTATGATTTTGCTCACAAGTGAAAAGCTAGACCTAAGAGACATACATATTCATGGATATGAACATATCTATGTGCATATCTATGGATAAATGTAGAAAGAGTCTAAGAACTACTTGGGGGCTGGGAAAGTGGCTCAGTGGTAGAGCACTTGCCTTGCATGCCTGAGGCCCTGGATTCGATTCCTCAGCACCACATAAGCAAAAAGAAAAAAGCCAGAAGTGGTGCTGTGGCTCAAGTGGTAGAGCACTAGCCTTGAGCTGAAGAGCTGAGGGACAGCGCTCAGGCCCAGAGTTCAAGCCCCACGACTGGACCCCCCAAAAATAAATAAATATAAATAAAACATTTACATTAAAAAAAAAGAAAAAGAACTACTTGGGAGAAGGGAAACAAACAGGAAAAAAGAAAGATATATGGCAACTATATGTGAAAACAGCATAGAGAACCTCAATGAAGCCAGGAGCTAGGGCTCATGCCTGAAATCCTAGCTATTCAGGAGGCTGAGAGCTGAGGGCTGTGGTTTGAAGCCAGCCCAGGCAGGAAAGTCCGTGAGTCTCTTATTTAAAATTATCTATTAAAAAGCTGCAAGTGGAGCCATGGCCCAAGCGATGGAGCGCCAGCCTTGAGTGAAAAAGCCAAGGGGTGGCACCCAGGGTGGTGCAAGCCCCGTACTGGCACACACACAGAGCTGCCCACTCTGCATCCACTTCTCACTTTATCCCATCGACTCCATTTTTCCCACATTTAAGAACCCTAAAAATAATCAGGGTTTAGCTTATGATATTATGTCATAGTTTAAATAGTAGCACCTTTTCTTTCTAAATGGCATGTAAAATAATGGTGCATTTTACAACCCATTCTATTTTCAATTTTGTGGGATATGTAACTGGTTTCAGTCATTATTGACATTTGGGAGTGATAGACATTTCTTTATTGCTGCTATGTCTTTAGCCTTCAAGATTCAAATTATCCTTCTCTTGCTGATAAGGTGAGACCCAAAAAACCCCACAAAACCCACCAATAATGTGCAAACCTGTCTCCTTTAACTAGTTACCATCCCAGGCCAGGAGAGTCTCACCCCCGAGCTCAGGAGCCACCATGCCGTCCCCCCTTGACTCCATGGACTCTGGGGAAGACTGCCAGCTCCTCCCCCTGCCCCCCAAACCCGCAGATGTTCAACATAAGTCCATGTGAACTCTAAATGACGCACGTTACTTAACACAATGCGAACCTATAGACACAGCTGAGGTACCATTTTGATTCTGAGTAAGAGCAAGCAAGTCTGTGCAGTGCATGCTTTCCTCTTGAACTATTTTTCAATCCACGGGTGGTAGAAGCTAGGTGCTCACGGCTTCTACAGCTGCTAAAGCCGCCTGTTAAGTTTCTCAAGCTTTAGCTGCCGTTCCTACCACTTCCTTTCCCTTCCAAGCTGCGTCAAGCCCCGGGAATGCTCTCCTGTCCGCTCTCTGTGCTCTGGAGTTCCCTTCCACAGGAAGCCAGCTGGTCCTCTACGTGGCCTAGGCCTCAGGCCAAGGTAGTTCAAAGTTCCCCTCCTCCAGGAAACCTGGCCACGCAGCACCTGCTGTTTTATGCCCTGGAGGTCTGGGGATAAAGTCCCTGCTCTTACCTGTGCAGTCCCAGAGAGAACGGAATCGGATTCCTCCAGAGAGCCCTGCTCTAATATGGAGACATCGCGTCCCTTGTACCTAACATGACTTTCCTCTGGAACTTGCAATTTCTCTAATTCCTGATTCTGCTAACTTTGGTCAGTACCAACATACAAATCAGTTCTAGTGTGCTCTTTTGCTACCGTCCTATGGAAGCAAAGACTGAGTACAGCAGTGGGTAATTACTAACAATTTGAAAATTAAGTTTGTTTTCAACAGTAGCTCCACTGTTACATATCCAATCAACTTGAAAATGTTTGCTTCAATGGGAGGAAATGTAAAAAAATCATTGAATTGTTCATTAAAAAGCTGCATTACGGCCGGGCGGCTCACGCCTGTCATCCTAGCTACTCAGGAGGCCGAGATCTGAGGATCGCGGTTCAAAGCCAGCCTGGGGAAAGAAAGTCCGTGAGACTCTGATCTCCCATGAACCACCAGGAAACGGGAAGCGCGCTGCGGCTCAGGCGGTAGAGCGCCCGCCTCGAGCTGGAGCCGCCCAGGCCCGAGTTCAAGCCCCACGACTGCCAAGGGGGAAAACCCCACCCCGGGCTGCAGGGCACAGAGATGTCCCGCGGAAGTTCACCCGCGAGCTGACCCTCGGTGGCACAAACCATTCCGACGCCAGTTCACGACCGGAA